ATTTTAATGTATTTTAAATTTATCTTTAAATTTATCTTTAAATCTTCTAAGTAGAAGTTTCAGCATCTGATTCACAAAACATGTGCACAAAACATCTGTGTATTTGTAATACGATAACAAAACCTGGCTTCTGTTTTGTCAAGTAAAGCCTGCAGCAAGTGAGACTTGCAAATAATGTTATAAAGTAGGACGGGCCGGAGAATGACAATTCTGTTAAGTGATAGCTTTTGAGGTGTCAGAATTTTGGAGGTTTTGGACTTAAAAGCATAACTTTTTGTAGTCTTCTATTTAAATATACCAAAAAAATGTTTCAAAATTTAGAAAGTAAGGTTCTCTGATTTGGAGGGATGGAAAAAAATTTTCTGCAACTCTGAAACATTTACATTTAAGAGATGTAGAATATGTAAAATAGATGTATTTCTGCTGAACATTTTGGGGTTGGTGAAAAGTATATTTGGATGCAAATAAATTTAGTCAAAACCAGTTTGAGTAATTTATTAGTTGAGACTGAAACAAGTGATATGATTTGAAAATTTACATCTTGAGTGGTCGTAAAATGGTGGTACTGAGAAAATGAAATAACCAAATGCCATATGCTTATTGTAGATATGGGATTCCTACTTTTTTCTTGCTGTCATTTTTATAAACCAGTTATGTCTGCAACTGGAGATGTTCACACCTTCCAAGAAGAAAAAGGTTTTAGAAAAGTAAGTACTGCTGTGAGCTTCTAGAAAAGTGTAATAGAACAAATACTTCTCAAAATGCAAGGCATGGGAGGCTGCAAAAAGGTCAACTAAAAAGATAACGGTAACGGTATTTCCACTGACTAGAATAAGAGTCGGCTCTGGCCCTTTGTATAGGTCTTCAGAGCTGATAGCAGCCTTTGTACAAGTGCCCAAATTGGTTCAGATATGGGGAGCAAAACAGCCACGTTGTAGCAGTGCCAACACTAATTTCCAGTTCATGCATAAGTTGACTCACACTGGTTCAGGTGTTTCTGCCAAGCACTACACTGTTGACTGTATGAATTAATTGTATTTCTTTAAGCTATAGCAAAACTATTGGTTCTCAGAGAGAACTACAGCGTATTACTGCAAAAATAGCTTCTGCTTCACAGCTGTGTTACTGATGTATAGCATTTAGAAAGAACTGATACTTTTGACAATATTGCAAATAAGCCTGGGTTTAGGAATCTGGTTTTAGCTGGGTACAATGGAAAGAGCAAAAACTTGGAAGAAATCATCACTTTTCAAGTGTTTTTTTATGGACTACAAATGAGACATTTAATTTAACAGTGTCACAGAATGGCATATGAACTTGATTTTCTTAAATGATCTTTCACTGGTTTGCTTTATTTTTTAATACATTGCAGATATGGTGACATGCGGGTAACAATGGGATGTGAAATCTTCAGCATGTGGCAAAATTTAGGTAAGTAATTAAACACATCATCAGTAGCTCGTAAAATGAAAAACAGTTATTACTTATGCACCTGTTAAATACACTTGTCAGGGATAGAGGAGTTGTTGATAATTCAGTTCACACGAAATCTTGATTCAAGTTTAGGAAAACCCTAGTCTTCTGTAGTTCCCTTCTTTATAGCTAAATTCAGCTTTCTAAGCCTTGAAACGGTATCTGACCTATCCCTATTTCTTCAAAGAGAACTGAAAGTATACCATCAGAGAAAATTAGAAAAGAAAGGACTGCTCTTTCTGGGCAGAATTATTATGCCTGGAAATATACTTACGTTCACAATTTTAGTTCTGTTGCCAAACAGTTTAAGGAACAGACATATATCTTAATTCTGAGGCTCTCTTGAGATGCTGGATTTGCATCAAATCTTCCCGTAAGTCCTAGTTGCACTAAAATATAAGGGCATAAACAAATCGGTGACTGATGTGTAAATGACACATTGGACAACATGAGGAAAATATACGCTTGGATATAAACTTGGGAACATTTTTATTTTTATAAGCAATAACTGTGCAAACTGTTTGAAAGTATGAGCCTCAGAGAAATGCAATTAAATATTGTTTGGGAAGAAAATCAAAATGGAATAGAAGATTTGGACACTACATTTGTCATCTTTATATTTCAATTATTCAATAGTTCTCTTCATTAAAGGGCTCAATTAAAGATATGAAGACCATCGGTGGTTACTGAGATACTGCCACCTCAATTCTATAAATCTTTTCCCCAGCAAGATATGTAGTTGTACAAAACTGATCTTTCTGATCAGCCTGTACTAGAAAGAGAAATGTTCAAAAGAAGAAATACTTGCTTGTTAATATCTTGTTAACATTTTTTGTGTAGCATATTTTACTTATTTACAGTATTTAGTATTGCTTACTCACTCTAAGGCATCCCTCTAAATTATTTGGATACATGATGGGTGTTTCTAAACTGGTATATCAGGAATCCGCTCCCGGGTCCCATCTCCTTCCTGCATGCTAGATAAAACCTTAGCATGCATCATCTCCCCACTCACATTGTTTTCTGCTGAATGGAAACCCAGTGTGCCGGCAAGGAGGGAATCGTGATGCCTTTCAATAATAGGGGCGAGTTCTGTGGGGTACAGTATGGAGTTCATCTGGTAATGTGTCCAATTAAATACTGTAGTCAGGATATTTCATATGATTGGTGTTATGCTAGTTAACATTTTACAGTTCTCTTAGCAGTAAGAGTCATCATAAGCCTTGATCCTTGTACAGTCACCTTGCTTTCATATGGATATGCGTCCCAGGATGTTTCCAGCAGAGGGAATTCTGGATTTCCTTTGCACAAACACCAAACAGAGCAGCAGGCAGGGATTACTTCCCACTGGAATATCCAGAGGTAGGCTGGGATGGAAATGAAGTCCCAGCTTGGAAAGTCAGTGCACTGTGATTCGTAATCCCCCTATTCTGAAGATATCGGGAATCTTACACCTGGACAACTGAAACTAAATGGTCAATCTTTACTGTATACCATTTCTAGCTTTCCTGGCAAGAACTTAGTTTTGTAGTTTCTGCTAAGTAGAATATGGTGAGTTAATGGAAGTTGTTTTAGCACTGATTTTAAAGCGAGTTGTTTTGAGAACAGCTGAGTCACATCTTCCCTTTCCTGCAGTCAAAACATGTACTTCCACTTCTGTACTCACAAAACTAAAGATAGGTAAAAATCAAAGTATTTACCTCTTTTTGATGAGCATGTAATATCAGACAGTTAATAATTTTGTAAATGCAGGAATGTACAGCTTAGAAACCATACTTTTCCTGTGAAGAGTAAATGAAATGCTCAGGGAAGGCTTTGTTCACCTTTGGGAAGACTAACTTGGGATACACATAACCCACTGTCACTTCTGAACTCATAATTGCGTAATAAAATCTGATAAATTATGTTGGCCTTACATTCTTCTGTTGTTTACAGCTTTTCTCTGCACTTTTTGGGCGTAAGAAATAGACCATGCTGTAATGGACATGAGATAAAAATCTGTAGACATTTAGAGTGCTATTTTTTAATTCTTCAGATAGTATTTGGATTGCTTGATAGCTCACAAGACACCCAATTCACATTCAAGTTCATGTTCATTTTCATTTTAGGGGAACACAAGCTTCACTTTATTCCAGCGTTGATTGGCCCCTTCCTGGAGGTGACCTTGATCCCTCAGCCAGACCTGAGGAATGTAATGATTCCCATTTTCCATGACATGATGGACTGGGAGCAAAGGCGAAGTGGCAACTTTAAACAGGTACTGTATGTGAAGCTGTTTATAAAACAGGACTGAAATTCAAGCACTTCAGAGAGTGCTGGTCCCAACCATTAGTGGTTATGGGTGGAGAAGGTCGCCTACAACATTATACCTGTTGGAGTGGGATTACCAGGGTTTTCCCTTTTTACTCTCTGCAGGGGTAGTAAGATTCTCCAATTAATGCTATCACGTTAGTAATGTAAGATGAGGGATAAAATCCATGGCCTGCCGAAGTGAAGAACAAAACTTCAGTTGTCTTCAACAAGGCAGATTTTGTTGTGGTGGCTTTTCATCTCTGCTTTATAGCAGTACAGACTACTGGTTAGATAGGATTCAACTAGCTTCCCTTCCAGTTAGTACGAAAAACGATCAGATGGTCCTTCTGAGGAATGTTCTTCCCTAAGGATCCAAGTATTCTTGCTGCTCAAACACCTTCTTAACGGGCTAGGAAGGAACAACCAAGTGTGCCATCTGCTCCCGCAGCTCCCACTCAGTTCTTTCAGACTGCCTCAAACCATTTCTCAGTGCCCTCCTTCCCGCTGCTTCAAATGAAGGAAAGCAGAAGTATTTGAATTACTCCCAGGCAATCATAATGCTTAGGGTGGGAGCTGTATCTGAAAAACAAAACAAACTATTAAGAACGGAGGAGTGCATGTGATGTAAGTAGGTAGCTTTTCACTGTCAATATATAAGCTTATTGTTAAAAATCACCATAGAAATGTTAACAAGGAGTGAGAAGGAAAAAATTCACTTGTTCTGCTCCCTGTGTTTTCAGCTTGGGTTTAAATGTAAATTGTATTAGATTTATTCTCTAATAAAATATCTTGACAACAGCTTGGTTTCTCCCCTAGATTTGTGGTTGCTAATATATTACTGCTAAAAAGGAGGTTTGAAATATTAACACATAGTGTAGCCTCACCTCTATATTTTTTTATAGTCAATACACGTAAAAATATGCATTGAAGGAGTCATTAGCCACCAGATCTGTTCTGTAAGTTTCTTTGATAGCTAATACGTAAATCCAGCAAATTGGATTTCTAACCAAATACACTGACAGGTAAGGAAGGTTGGGAAAGTAAGTCTGAGCCCCTAAGTGTTCTGAACAGTACAGATATTTATAAAAACTAATAATAAAGAGTGGGGTGCAGGTCAGAAAAGATGATATTTTTATTGATATCTAAGAAAATGGCTTGTGATTACAGCCCTGCACTGAGAATTCAGGCAATTTATTTGGGCTGTGTGCTTTTTGTCTGACTCCATAAATAGATAGCTGCCTTAGCAGCAGCAAATGCTACTCAGCCTGTAGTTTTAAAGTCACGTTGCTCAATTTAAATTAGCTCCCTCCCTCAAAAAAAAAAAAAACACCAAAAAAAAGAAAACCCCACAAACCTTGGGAATGATAACAGCTTCAAAGAGATGAAGTGACTTATCATCAGATTTACATGATTGATCAATAATTCTAAGATATGCATTTAGCAAAGTCCCTTACATAAAACCAAATCTTCCCTCAATTTTCTCTAATCTCATTAAAGGAAAAAGAAGCTGTTTACACCACACTTATATGTTGCAGGTGGAAGCAAAACTGATTGACAAACTGGACAGCCTAATGTCGGAAGGTAAAGGTGACGAAACATACCGAGAGCTCTTCAACAGTATGTGAGTAATATTTATCTTACCCTAATTCCTTGAGTTCAGTTGGTTGTATCAGATGCTAATGTCATTGTAGAGAAGGAACGCTTAAAACAGTTGTGAATCTCGTTTTTTCTTTTTTTTTTCTTTTTTTTATTTTCCCCCCGAAAACCTGAGGAATAAAACATTTTAGGGTGCATGGCATCTGTAAAGTCTGGCTGTACTTCTTGCATGCAGCTATAATTGGGAAAGGCTAAATCTGTTGTATCACAGAACGTTCTTTTTCTCTACCTACTAATTTTAAAATCAGAAAAGCAAGAAATGGTTCATAATTGCATAGGGTGCAGGTAGAGCTCAAATGGAGCATTTTGAAAACAAGGCATGAGAATTCAACAAAAAGCTGCTTCATAAGTAATTTTTCTATTACCAGAAACTTGTACTCATCTGTGTAATGTCACTTGTTGATTTCTTGATTGATGCATACAATTTTATTAATTCTGATAAGATTATTTCTTATTCTTTTCTTTTATAAATTACTTGTTAAGCTTTTAGTATATTTTAATAAATGACATATCACTGAAATCTAAGCTAATAATAATGCTGAAGTCCCTAAGGTTGTCCATAAGTTTTCCCATTGACTGAAATAAATGATTGTCACAGAGTACAGATGCAAAATAACTAACTGAACTCTGTCTCTGTTGTTTGTCAGAACTCAATTCCACCTAAGTGGAAGATTTCACTTATTTCTGGTGTGTTTAGTAGATGTATTGTTCCTCCTCGGGATTCCAAGCTGTGCATTCTTCAGTACTATTAAACACATGATCTTTTTCTGTTTATAAGGCTTCTTAACCATTCCTTCTTCTTTAAGTATTAGTTTTACCTCAGTTGTCTGCTTAAATAACAACATTCAGATCTCAGTGTCTGTGCATAAGAAACATATAATAACCCGTAATTGTATTGAGTCGAAAAAATAGAGTTCCTAAATATTTATCATTTACAGAAGCAAAAGTGGGTAGAGAGATTAGGCAGAATATTATGAAAATGGATGAATAATGGTAAAGAACAATACAGTATGCTAAAGCAGAACTTTCTTGTTATTCATGAAATTTTTCATAATCTGGGTAAAGATAAGAAAAGGTAAGATGATTTCAGTATTTTAGTAACACAGTATTCTAACTTCAAAATTAAGTCATTAAGGGAAAAACTTTAATTATAAAATGAAGTCTAAATGCATTCTCACATGCAAAATACATCAGGATGTCTGTCACTGAAATAACTAGCAAATCTATAAGAAAACATATCGGTATGAAATATAGTTCCTAATTTTTTTTACGGTTTTGAGTTAGATTTAAATTGGGTGATGTTAAACAAGATACAGTGAAAAATGGTGAGAGCCTTTTATAAATCTAAATGCTGAAGACATAGTCATAGTAATTTAAATTGCAAAATGTCTCACAGCATCAGTATACTTGTTTCTGTTCTGGTATAACAGAAGTTAAAACTAAACTCTTTGAGAGATTTCAGAGTAACTGCTCAAGTTCCCTTCCAGCTTAAGAAAAAATAGTATTTATCATTAGTTTTGTGTCTGAGTTTAATTTGACTCCATACATTAACACCTCTCAAGAGGAGAGCTTGCAGAAGATACTGATCTAAAATGGAGGATGACATAGTGTTCTAGGCTATGTGAAAGAAAACAATTAAAATCAGATGGACAGTTTAGGGAGCTGAATGCAAGGGATGGGGCCAGTTAGCCTGCGATTTCTTTTTTTTTATTTCTTCCATGGGTAATTTAAACTAAGCAATATTAGAGTGTCTTTAGACAGTGCAAGAAAGCAGGCTTGTTTAGGCTGAAGCGACAGATGTGCTATATGCCCAAGGACTGTGAAACAGTAATAGGGTTTTGCAGCAAGCAGTGGGTTTGTAGTCTTCAAGTGCTGCAATATTACCTGATCCTTCTGAAGATTCAGCATGGTTGGTTTTGACAGGTACAGCTGGGAGCCAAAGGGATGCACACGCCTGCTTTGGATACACTCTAGTAACTGCAGTGGGTGTGACACTTTCAGGTTTTGTCATGCTTTTTGTTTGTTTTGTCTGAATTGGAAAATGAATTTAAATCTCTCAACTTCCACGTTAACTGTTTTTTTTCCAGAGACAATGACTGCATCTTTCCTTTGAACATGTTCTATTTTCAAGGACAAATTATAAGCATCTCTGGACATACCTAAAATAATATGTGCTTAGAATTCACTGATTATAATGGAATTATCTTTATCAAATAAAAAGACACAGTGAAAGTAGGGGGAAAATGACTGCTGTTTGGTTTAAATCAATGTCTTTCTAGAGACTTGAATATGACCACTCAGTGATTAGCTCCTGATGTCATTTGAAGAGCTGCAAAGCATAAAGTAGTGAACATTTTGCTGTCGTGAGAAACTAGATGTTGTAATTGCTACCCAGTGTAATCGTGGTATGAAAGGTGTCCTGATCTACATTTACACTGTAACACTGCAATTGAATTCCTGAGTTAATTAGCACAGGGAGAAGAATGATTTCACTTTATTAAGCAGTTGCTGGTTAGAACAAAATCCTTGGAAGCCGAGGGTTATACTCAAGTAGCTCTTTTGTTCTGAATCTGACGGATGCTGCCAGTTTATTACTTCTGTAGCTGTACTCCAGTTTGGCCCAACACAAGCCATCTCAGGTCTGGAGGTTAGGTGGCCACATTATCAAAGCACAAAACCTGGGCTAGTGAGCTCCGCTGGGGGCCTGACGATGAGGCTTCTCTTTGAAGAAACTGGAGCTGACATTCAAACTGAGCAGGCATTTAATACCAAGCTCTGCCAGTTTGTGGGTGATTTCTTTAGCCATGAAGCTATTATGTAAAAAGTGATAACTGCTAGCTCTTGCATGCTGTCTTCACTCTTCTTAATTTCTTCCCCTAATTGCATGACTGAATTCAGTGCTGCCCAGCCTATTAGACTCTCTGGACTGGGTCTTTTAGAGCCCTTCTGCATGTTTGTGGGGTTTGGGTAGTTCCTCACTGATCGCTGAACTTTTGCAGCAAAGTTTGACTTTGACCCATCTGACTAGATAAGGGAACCTTTGGCTATAGTGAGGTACCTGGAGGACTTTGTACTCCAAAATAGACATCCAGATGTTTTAAGGCACCTCTAGGATTAGGTGCCTGTGAGTTAGTGGTCTGAATAACTCTGTGGCTTAGGCATATAAAATGCACTTACTACATGATGGAGCTAGCCCGAACGTGGTTCTGAGCCTGTTGTTCATCCCTGGAGAGCTCTGATTCTCTGGGTCCCCACTCTGCTCTGTTATTCTTGGGAACCCAAGATTAAAAAAAACAAACAAACAAACAAACAAAAACCACACAACTGTCCAGGTGGTCCCAGATGTTAGGCTATAGTAGCATGGATAAGGCAGAAGCGTTTTCATTGTTTCTCTGTGTTGTTTATCCCCCTTAGTGCTTTGTAGGACATGGCATCTTGGCTATGCTTTGGGACCTGTAAGTAACAGGAATTTAATTCTATCTAGACACAGCCACGAAGAAGCCAAGGGATATGTTTGAGTAGCTCTTTCATTCTGAGTGTTTGTTCTGTGCATTGTGGTGAAAGATGTATGATGGAGAGGGGGAGGCATGCATCAGAAGGCAAGTCATAAAATTGTTCAACTGACGACATTGATGTCAGTTTGAATAAGTACCTTGAATGTATCTACACAACCCATTCGTAGAAATTGTATATTTATACTGAATATGCCAATACATTTATAAAGAACATGCATAAGTCAAGTACAGATGAAAACCATCTGTTTTAAAAGAGAAGTCAGACTTCTGCTGTTTTTCTACAGGAACTGTAGGTAATTATTTTGATGAATTTAGGTTGAACTGTTCCTATTTAATACGGAGTTGAAAGGCAATAGAAAGGAAAAATCAGTGCAGTAATCGGTGCATAATAATGTAACAGGCTCTACTCATTTCTTGTTAGACACAAAAACTTGTATTGAAAGGAACGCAGGGGGTTTAAAAGCGAATTAAGTTAGCCTGTGTATTCTGTATGGAAAGCAGAGATGCCAGATTAGTGCTTCAGCCTCTTCTGGTTAAGGATGGCCTTGTCATCTGTCTCTGCTAGCAATGACAGGTAGCCAGTCACTGAATGTGAAGGAAAGACATCTGATTGCCTCCTAAAGAGAAGTGAGTCTAAGATTGATACAAGGGTGCAGAATGAAAATCAATGTTTCCTTCTTGTTTCCAGCAGAGCACAGCTTCACTTAGGTGGAATTAGTTTGGAGAATTGCATCTGTGACATCCCCCTGTATGTAAGGAGCTGAACAGAGCTGGAGTGTATAGCTAGTGCAGTTGGCATGTAGGAGTTATTGGGCACTGTTATAAGTTTGGTGAAATTTGGACGTAGGAGTTTTATGGGACTGAACATGCTCAGTATAGATGAAGGTCAGTGGAGCTGACAGCTTGCCCACTGCAGACAGAAGGTTCGGAGATGCTATTAACAACTCTCTAAAAAGCTCTGAGTATATGGATGTGGCAATTTTCAGAGACTTCTAAGTAAACCATACCTGAGTGCATTTTCAGGCAGACTGCTAAAATATCTCCATAGACATATCATCCATCTAAGGTCCTGCACCAAAGCATAGAAATAACACAACTCTGTAGATATATATTTCCTTGTTCATTCTCAGAGAGGAAATACTGGAAATTCATGCCCAGATGATTAACGTTTGTTAAACTTAAGCAATGAAAATCAGAGGCCTGTAACAGAAAGAAATATTAAGTATAATTTTACTGACAGCTCCACTTACAACACCATTTTGAAATCTTTTCACTTCAATGTGTAATCTGCATTTACATTAGTGTAAGAACTCAACACAACAGGTTTTAATAAAGAATCTTAGGACAATTTAAGCTAATGAAATTTTACATGTGTATGATAGTATGTTCTCAGAAGGAAATATGGAGTGAAGAGGGGGAGTCATCTTATTAAAATCCCTTGCCCATTCTTAGATTTCATGCGTACTGAAATATTAGAGAGGAGGAAATATCTTTGTTAAAAAAGTTGAGGTCTGATTGAGAAGGTATGTTGAGTTGATAAATATTCTTTTCTAGGTACATCTTTAAACTCCCCGTTTTCTGATCTATCAGCATGAAATTAATATATAAATTTTATGTAAGAGTTCTGTTAAGTCTTTGGGATATTAATGTATTCTGAAAATTAGGTATTTGATATATTTTAACCTGATGCAGCTAATATAAAAATCATTTGTTTTGTCAATGCTTCCTGGACTAGAATTCCACTTTTTGGTCCTTATCCTAGGTAAGACATTGTTTGCAAATTGTGCTTCTTGGGAGGGTGTTTGTAAAAGAAAACCTAACTATCGAAGATGTTGCTAAGGTATTAAGGTACTGGTAAAAGCAGAGTGGTTGTCATAGTGACAGTTGAAAATAAATGGTGAAATTGTTCTGGCTTCTTTTTTTTTTTCAGTCTACTGAAGAAAATTGAGCGGGAAACATGGAGGGAAAGTGGCGTTTCATTAATTGCCACTGTGACTCGCCTCATGGAGAGGTTACTGGACTACAGGTGAGTGATTATCACAATTTATAAGTAGGGTTGTCATCTTCAAAATATTAGGAGGAAAATAGGGTGATCTTGCACAAACGGTGACTGCACATGGACACATCAACTATACATGCTCAGGATCTCTGACAGCAGCTGCTTAATCAACAGGAAAATGAGACAAGCTGCCTGAAAACTAACCCAGTAGCCTCCCCATGGTATGAAAATCCAGTGGCTCGCACGAGTTTCCTATGAAGGAATATAGGAACTTTTGGTAGTAGGTTAGTGACTCAAGTCTGTCTGAAGACACAGAGCTCAATACTAATCACCTGACAGTTGTTTTACAGAATATGTAAAATTCCTATCACTACGTCAGTCATGCTTAGTTGTAGTGTCAGCCAGCACAGTGAGTATGTATACAAAGATATGATCTCTGGGTGAGAAGCTTGCATCTGACTGTACCACATGAACAAAGGAGAGGGAAATAAGAGATGTATACTCCCTTTTAAGAGTGGGAGACTAAGAGGGATTTTCTCGGTCACTTGTGAAGTCCATGTAGAAACTTCAGATTTCAGTTTAGTCCTCCTTATTGCCATCAGTTGTAGCACTTTGTAGAGCTTATGTGTTAGTTTTTTCCCCAATTGCAAGGGGGACACATGGTAAGGCCTGGTACTCCACTTGCTATCCTCACTGATAGTTGAAAAGGAAAGCTATTTTGTCAACAAAGAGACTGAACTCTTAATTTCTAGAAGCCTGGCAGTACTATTCCTCTTCAGGAATCGGTTGGATTACAACCTCCAGGGCTCTCAGTCCATCATCTTTCAAAACAGTTGTGCCTACCGGTGGTTATGAGAGTTATTTGGGATGATTGTTTAGCTCATGTATGCAAAAGTGTTTTAAAATCACATTAAATTTCTTTTTGCGACTGCATGGTGATGTCTGCCTGCTATTTTTTTACTCCAGTTTGGTTATACTGACACTGTTTTTCCCTTTGTGATAATCAAACTCTGTGTGGTTCCATTTTAACTTTTGACTTTGGGGTCAGATCTATTGCCTCCCCAAACAATAAACGATACTAATTTTAAAGTGGTACTGAGGAAAATTTGGTGGATCTTCGAGCATTTTACAGAGGAGGTCAGTGACATTCTGCTTTTTCACAGAGTGGGAATTAATTCTGTAATTCCATGACCAATTTAGATGTACGCTGTCTCTGAAGAAAGCAGACTCATCCCTGCTCATTCCCTCATTCGCATCACCCTCTTCCTTGTGCCAGCACAAGCGTTTGTGCTGCACTTCGGTGATCTGACTGACGTGGGCTAAAACTGGCCCAGCAAAAGATGCTGCCTAACCTGTATCTCTTCCGAGGTTTGTGCAGGCAGTAGTGCAGGACTGGGAGTGAGTGCCTGAGAGGAACAGGACTGCCGCTTCTGGCAGCCGTGCTGGCTTCTGCTGGCATGATTTGAGCAAAGTAAGAAGAAACCAAATGATCTCCAGCAGTCACCTAGCAAATCAATGACAGAGCCAGAAAAAAACATTGTCTGTCTTGACAGTTGAGGTATTCCATGTCCTAGAAAAGGAGGCATGAAAATCCTTACATGCCTGGGTCAGCTGTTCACCCAAATATCTTTGGGTTGCATCATTTCAGTCAGCTTGCCAAGCCAAATATGTCTGTTTTCTGAGGTGTGCTTCACTGTAAGAGGATAAACGTCATTACTTGTGACTTCCATTACTTTCTGTTTTAGGGACTGCATGAAAATGGGAGAAGTGGATGGCAAAAAGATTGGCTGCACTGTTAGCCTTTTGGTTTGTATAATACTTTTTCTTTCCCTTTTTGATTTCACTTGAGCATTTTCTAGTATACAGCCACACATTTGAATAGGAGGTACCTTGCTTCTTGATGGAGTTTGAGTGGAAGTTGATAGATACTGCACTTAAGATTGCTGATTTTTTTGTTCAGGGTGAAATTGATACAGTGGGGAGTTAGTCTTCCTTGGCATTTTATAGCTGGGCTCTGAGAGATCTCTAATACTGCTTTATTCAGTTTTCAGTCTCTTCCTACTGGATAAACTTCACCAAAGCATTTTCCAAGTTTAATTGGTCTCTGAGTTCATAAAAACAAACAAGCCTTTCCTCCTTCCCCAAACCCAACAAAACTTACATGATTTCGCTTTTTTCCTTTCTTCCCCAATAACCGACACAAGTTGGTTCTTATGACATATAATATGGGATATCTTCTGAAGACTGCAGGCTATCTATTCTCTTCCCAATAGAAGAGCCAGAAATGCTGCTCAAGACCTCCTCTTGTCATGTTATCATCATTACAACGAGCCAATGGTGCACAAAAGTAGTATGAAAAAGATTTCATTTTTGTTTACAAGATGCATTTTCGTTCTAGGCCAGCTTCCACTGACAAGTTTATTGACTTCCGTTAACCTTGGAAAGTTTCCATTTCATGGTGAATGTTTTGGAAAGCTGTATTTTTAGCCAGGGAAAAAAACAGAATAAGCTGACTTTGTAATTCTGCATTTTTGACGTCAGTGAAACAATTTGGTATCACTTCTAAGTAGCAGTTATACATAGGAGAATAAAGGATTTCTTCAGTAGGAAAATAGTGCTCTGTAAATAGGGGTGATGTTTACTATGTAGCCGTAGAGCAGCTGGCTTTCTGTCAGCATATATGGCATGATCTGAATTCTGTAAAGCACCTGATTATTTTCATCCTAACACTAAGGATTTTTTAAACTATTATTAGCAAATCATCCAAGATTTACACAAAAAGAAAATTCAAATATTTAAAAACCCTCAAACACCATACTTTTAAATGGGATTTTCAGTGACTTGTACAGGCTAAGGTGGATTTCATATCCTAATAATTTTCAGACAAATTTTAATACTATTTGCACACCAGAGAAACAATGAATGATAAATTTTGAAAAGGAAATGTCAATTATAGAAGTAGCACACATTTTAAGACATTTTCTTGCCCATATGATGGATGAACTCATCATCTCAAAAGATGTTTCATGCAACAAGTAATTAGAGGAATGTATAATGTTAAAATTATATGAAGTCCAGAGGAGGAAGCAATATTTCATTTTTCACCACTACTTTAAAGGTATTCTGATTTCCAAAGAGGACTGGTTGGCATGAGAAGAGAATTTTTACATTGTTTCCCCATAGAGGTATATGCTGTTCTTCCAGAAAATAGAATTGTCCAAGTTAACCAAGTTACCAAATTAACTGGAATTATGCCACATCATGAAATATGTAGAAGGGTATGCAGCAGCAGCAATAACTTAGATGAAAGGAGAAGGTAGGAACTTTTTTCCTACTCTCTCCACCCTCTAGATCATCTGGAGTACATTTCACATTAGTAATGAATATTTGGAAAAGCTGTTTTAAGAGGTGTCTAATGGAGTTAGTTCCTTATGCATAAGAATCACCTAACTCTGATTTGACAGTTGAATTTCTAATGAAAGAACTCTGTCATCCCAGAGGTGTACAAAAGCATTGAAAGTATATTGAATAACTTTCGGTAACTCGCTGAGGAGTTTTTCTCAGGCACCTCTGGTCCTCATTGGTGTTTGATATTTAATTGATATTTCAGGTTCTGTTAAAATTATATCTTCTTTTTAGAAAGAGGACATTTTCCTGTGATGCTTTACACTGGTATATGACATCATGCCATTTAAGTAGAACATGTCCACATTGCCTGTTTGAATGTTGTTTTCAAACTCTTTTTTTCGTAGGAAAAAAGTCTTTATTAATTAGGCAAGTCTACTTTTTACATCACGTCCCCCTTTGAAGACTACATCTGTTATATTTTATACCTTGAAATAGTTGTTTGAAAAATCACACGACACCTTTATTAGCATGACGTTTTTCCTGAGCTGTGACTGGGTTGTCTTGCTGTGGTCTGCCTTACAGACCAACTGGACATTGTCAGAGCTTCAGAGGAGAACCTGTTGATTTGTATAGTATGGGCTTGTGACAAGTACTGGAGGCTTTAGTGCTTAGGGGTCAGAGGCCAAGAAGTCTAGTACTGCAGTTCAGTGCCGTATTTTGTCTTAAACTTTATGCTTTATTGCTCGCAATTCTGTATTTAGATTATGCTTTTTTTTCAGACAGGTAAATATAAACATACAAACAGATATTTTTTTCATTTTCTGTTCTAAAGAGAAGCATCTGTTCCTAGTCTTAACCTTGTGGGAGGAAAAGAGAAGTCTTTGGATTATAAAGGCAGATGGTGGCCTAAAGGGGGCATGTCATTACACAGCTATGGATATGTAGTCGTTTTCTCAAGTCAGTTAAAAAACCCTTTCTCTATAAAGTTTTTATTCTGATTTTTTCATAATGTTCCTCCCACCTTTCTCTTTGATAACTCAATTTAGGAAACAGTGGCACAGAATAAGAATAGGGGAAAAAGTTTGACCACTCAGAGTTCAAAATAGTAAGTGATTTGAATAATAGAACAGAAATTGTTAATTGCTAATAAGAACCAGTGCTAGATTCTTCTCTCCTATAAATTTTTATTAACCAAAGCGGATTACCCTGAATGTTAAGTACGTCTAGCAGGGGGACTCTAGCTGCATGTTCATAGTGAGTATGGCAATACTTGTGAACGGTGCTATAGGGTTGTGCTCCTCTCTCTATAACTTTTTCATACTTTGTTTTAGGGCTTGCAAATAAATCATGAAAGTTTTGAACTAAGGGTTTTGATGTTGCATTCCATGTGTTATTCTTGTAACAACAAATTGCAGTTATACATGCAGAAATCTTTAGCCACTTCTGGAAATTTCGTCCTGGATATCACTTTAGAGTGCAACTTTGTATATTTCGATCATGCAATGCAATATCTATGCATCAGGTACCGGTTCCCAGCACCAGTTAGGGCTGAAGAAATCATGTTTATGATTCAGGATTGTGTTCTTTACAATACTGAATAGTTCTTCGTAAAGCTACCAAAGTCCTTCTGGCATTTTCCTATCACAGAAGGAAGAGTAGACATACCAGGCGGTAGATATTTTGTTAAAATATGAACACAAAAGTCAGAGTGCTGTCAATATTTTAAAATCAATATACAACTTTCAGCAATATGTTAAATGGCCTAAGTAAGGATATATGGGTGCACTTTTAGAATGGATTTGTATTTCTAAAGAAAGAACCATCAGATTTCAGTTCTATCAGGTTCTTCCTCTTATGTTCTATGAAAATTTAAATAAAAAAACATTCAGGAGCACGTTAACTTGTCTACTGAAAATTTACTATTCTATTGTACATGTGAAACTTTCAAATCTACGTGTATTTATAGAACATTATGTTTGAAGTCTTTTGTTTGTAACCACTATCATATATTTATTAACTACTACATTTCATTACAAAATTCAATTTTATTGCAGAATTTTTACAAGACTGAACTGAATAAGGAAGAGATGTATATTCGCTATATTCATAAGCTGTATGACCTACATCTGAAAGCACAAAACTTCACAGGTAATTGAGTACAAACAAGGAAAAGATATTTAGGACTGGTCCATGATTTGCAGTCTTTTGCAAACCTGTAAGCTGTATCCTCAGTGCAGAACATACCGACCCAGGCAACAGCTGAGTTTCCTTGAACAATTAATCTCTCTCTCAAAATACAGCTTTTTTTCAGCCCTGCAACTCTCCTACTTGCTGTGCCATGTTGAATGTAAATGACTACTGTTGATACACACAAGCAATAAATGTGTGATACGGTCATTCTTCATCCAAGAGGAGCAAAATTTAGAGGAAGTTTATATGAGTCCATTTGGTAGTATCTGAGCCTATATACTTTTTTGTAATGCTGCTGGTTAGCCGTTTGGTGTGGTGTTTCTACATAGCTGTGTTTCAGAACCTAACTTTTAGGTTAAAAAAAGAAAATAAAGGAAGACCCATATCACTTACTAATGATGGGACAGAGACCCTAAAACCTGTAACAAGTATAGCGCTTTGTTGATGTCTTTCTGAATCTTCACGTACCACATTTGCAGTACTATTGTCCAGGACTTCTCAATGCGAATTTAGTGCCAGGGCTGGCCATTAACTTTTAAATGAAGAAATGAGAAAATAATGTTCATGGTTGTTGTTTATACAACATAAAGTGCTCTTCATTTGGGTAACTACATGCCATCAATAATTGCTGGAGAAGATAAAATGAGTATCTCTTTAAATTAAACAATCTTTGGTTGCCAAAATATTTAGCTGACCTTATAATACCTCCATCTTTTCCCCAGTGTTTACAATTGCAACTGCATGTGTTCAGAATCTCTCCAGAATTTTTTCCTTCTTAAAAGCAGATTAGTTGGCTGGGGATTGCTAGTGAACAGGCTACAGGTACCTCCTGCCACAGCAAATTTCCTTATGCTTTTCTGCTATCCATGGGAAAGATCCTTCACTTGGAATTTCCACAGTCCCTTTGCAGTTCATGGGTTTAAAGTCTAGACTAGATAGCAGGATATATTAAGGAGACATTTTCATTTCCTCATGTGACCTGGCAGTAGTGAGTCACAAGAGAGTTTTGATTATCAAGCAGTATCTTTGCCACAGCTGGCTTTTGTGCCAAACTATTCATTTCCTGATTTTACAGAACAGATGTAACTCTTTAAGTAATGTTGAGTTCCCTTTACACACTGGCTGCTAATATGTGTCCAGTTTGCCTTCAGCAGTGGTATGAACCTAATTTTTTTAAATTGTTTTGCCATCCATTCTTATTTTAAACAGTATTTTACTCAAAATTTATCTCCAGGACTTTGTTGTATTTCCTGTGTATTTATTATTAACATGTGTGATTTTTGCATTCATTGCCATGGTAGATTCCATGACTGATTGTTTTGAGGTTTTTTTGCCATGAGTTCCTTAAGGAAGGATTGTCTCACACTCATGGTGTCGGGATAGAGACAGTGTTTCCACTACAAAACAGACTTATGTAGTCCATTACCTTGCCTTATCAATCAGTGACAACACCCAGACCTTTTGTAAATTAGCTGATCTAAAGTGCATGGGAGTAGGAAAAGAAGGTTGCTACTTCAGCGGCATTTTTTATTCCTATATGTTGCACCATTAGTTCACTAACTGCGTGGTTTCATTCTAGGGATGAAGCCAGCTTGCCTGTAAGATAATTTTTCTCTCCTTTCATAGTATGATTTGCAGGACTGTTTCTAATAATCCTCTGTTTAAAAAAAAAAAAAAAAAAAAAAAAAGGTCCTTTTTAATATAAAACGTGGCTTCAAATCTTTCTTTACCCAGCACTCAGTTACAGCTATAAATATAACTCTCTTGAGGCTGAAGCACATAAATGCACTGGTTTCTCTTGTGTCCCCTCAGTCATCTGAGAAGTGTAATGAGATCGTCTTTGTATCTATCCATCTTAGAAATGTTTAGTTTTTTGAATCTTTCCTGTATAAATTGCATTTCCCACATCGTGAGTCAACCCTGTTTATCTCTCCTTACTTTTTTGGTGCACAGCCAATAGTTACAGACCTCTCCCAAAGGTACCAATATATTACTTCTTATGCTGGCCACTGCCAGATATAGGATGATGGGTAGAGGGACCCTTCAGAGCTTTTATCCAGTATGGCCATTCTTATTTTAGAAACCTTCTGTATACATTTATGATAACTTAAAAAAAAAATGTTGGTATGGCAGACAAAAATCTGTTAAAATGAAGGACTTGCATGCCAAGTTAGAAAGGAAGGGTCATAGTGAGCTATCCTGACATGTATTTATGCTCTGCTATCTTTTGCTTCCTTGTGATTTTGAATGCTTTGTTGTTATCAACTTCATGGATTTTTTAAATTGGGTTATAAATGTGCTGCATATTTTGAGTACCAAACTGTAGCTTGAAACTATGACAAAGGATGTTAGCAGTCAAGCAGACTGAAAGCTGTGTGATGCCAGAATTAAGATTGTCTGTGCAACTTCAGCTGTCTCCCTTGCACATATGTGTTGCAGTGCAGCATCATTTTTTGCACCATGCTTAGCATTTTACAACATTTGGATTCAAAGCACGCTCTCCCACAAACATCTGCTGCAGTGATGTTTTTTCATCCACAGGTTCTTAAGCTGGACGCAGAAGAGGAACACTACTGTTAGAAAAAAGCTCTGTACAGTTTGGTTTAAGTCACCTGTCTTATGGGAACTCATATGGCAGAGGCAGAAGTAGGATATGGTTGTCTGGGGCAACCTTACCTTAGCATAAAAAGTACTGCAGTACTTTATAGTTATTTTTTGCCTTACGTACAACCTATAAAACCTGCAGTAAAGTAACTCCAGTAGGCATCTTCTTTCTCCAGTGTAGTACGTCTCCAGAACGTGGCCCGTCTTTGTACTGACTGATGCAAAGTGGTCCTGAGAGTGGAAAAACAGACTGTGAACACTAACTTGGAGAACAACAATGCATATGCACAGTTAGCCAAAGTGAATTGTCATAACCAGTAGTAATTCCAGTGATTCGTAATTGGCCAAAGTCTGACTTTGCAATAGAGAGATTCATTTAATATTAGTTTTAGTGTACTGTTTCTGAGGAATTCTTTAAATCAAAGTAAAAATAATAATTTTGCTATTCCCGGGTAATTTCTACCAACCATGATCTAACGATTACTACACAGTTCTCTGACCAGAGAGGAACAGTAGGTTTGATCCTTCCAAACCTAAAAATAAATAAAATTTTACAAAATTAAAAAAATGTTCTGTGTGTACACTTCTGAATTGTTTGTTACGGTAGAGTGTTAAGGCTCAGCTAAGAGGGATTTATTTCTATTACTGAAAGAATGGAGTCTATTAAGCACACATCTGCCTCTCCATTTCCCTCCCAGCCCTGATCTCTTCTGGACTGTGTCCACAGTCCTATCTACCTTCTTTCCTCTTTCTTTATCCACGTTCCTCATCCTCCGGCCCTTGTTCCCTTGCTCAGACAGCAGAGCCATTGAGAGTGTCTCCTAAGCAGCAGGGAAGACTAGGGCTAAGCAGGAAACTGTTACTTAATTTCTCTGTCCCCTTTGTATTGTCAGACTCCAGGAAAACTGTCCCAGTGACTCCACTTTAAATAGTGTGTGAAAATTGTAAGCTGAAGTTATTATAGCTCTAGATAGTAACTCTGTCCAAAACCAGCACTACCATCTGTCTTATACTTGAAATAAATCAGTTACCCATTAAAAAGGTGGATCTCATCAGGAGCATTCGCATTTCTGTGTACTTTGGCTGTTTTATTTGCTTGGTGTTCGTATGTACCGTGCTATAATTTGTCTTGTAGAGGCTGCCTACACGCTCCTGCTGTACGACGAGCTGTTGGAGTGGTCTGATCGGCCACTGAGAGAATTCCTCAACTACCCCATGCAAACAGAGTGGCAACGTAAAGAGTGTCTCCATCTGACCATCATTCAAAACTTTGATAGAGGAAAGGTAAAATAGTCCTATTTTACTGAGTGGATCTGGAATGGATAGTTTATTCATTTTAGGACATTACTTCCAGGGTTGCAGTCTTTTCTCGTATAGAGAGGAAGTGTTTGTTGTTGCCTGATGAAGCAGTTACTTAGCGACACAGTAGGTTTCTTCTAATCCTGTGTTTGTATCCTAGAAATCCCACACTTACATGTGAGAATAATTTGCACTTGTGCAGCAATTCGCTTTGTAACTGTCAAAGCACTTTATAAAAGATAGTATCATTTCTCTCCGTTTTAAAGGTGGTGAAAATGAGCCATATAAACCTTATGAAATTCACTTAGTGACCAAGTGAGGAAAAAATTCAGGGGTCTGGATTATAAGGACTATGTTTACACCTTCTAAATCATGTTGAGTCTTTTAGAATAGCAACTGCAGAATCTCTAAAAGGGAATGGATTTTGGGGATCACAGTTCATTGTCATCACTAAGAATGCTGATTCTGAATTAAGCGAGAGTAATTATCCTGTAGTTGAAAATTTTATATATCTTTTGTGTGATGATTTGTCTTGCTGATAAACAAGCAATTCATTGCAATTCTGTGTAGCTAGCGTAATACCCATGGAAGCCGTGTAAATGTAATCAAACTGATGTTGATCATAATTTTTTTCCGAAAATTCTGTAATCAGCTCTTAGAGTTTAAATTATATGGTGCAATAAAATATTTTCCAATCTACAAAAATTAAGGAGGATATGTTAAGAGTACAATTTTAAAATGTAAAAATCATACTGTGTTGAATCAATCTCACATGTAGTATCAAGAGATGTGTATCATCACTCTTGCAATGATTTGTATCTTGTGCAGTGATAGTCCTGAAAGAATCATTTATTAAATAAGTCTCTCAATATATTTTCAATCCTTCAAAGAATTCATCAGTATTACTCAGCAGCTATCAGTATGTCTAGTGGACAATACATTCAAGTATTTTCAGTTACTGGAAGTAGGACTTAGTATAGAAAGAACAGACCACTAACAAATCACAAATTGTCAAACAGTTGCTTTGAAATTACTGAACATCTTTTACTTGCTTGCAGTGTTGGGAAAATGGCATTATCTTATGCAAGAAAATTGCAGAACAGTATGAAAGCTACTATGACTACAGAAACCTCAGCAAAATGAGGGTAATGTACTTTTCATCAATCAGAGATCCAAAAGGTTTTTGGTTTGGGTTATAAAACATGACTTAGAAAATTAAATTTTCTGCCGAATGGTCCTTAGGTTTGGTTTGCAAACTTTATTTTTTTAGCTTGTGGGTTTTTTCTATGATAAAGATTATAAAAAAGGAGTATGAGATTTTTGAAGAAAAAGGGGAAAATAAATGATCTTGCAATGTTTGTACCTGCACAGCACCGCTTTCATGTGCATGCTTATGCAGAAAAATTATATTACAAATTCAATTTCATTGCTTTGCTATGGTTTATCCAGGTTTCAGCAGTCCTTCGCTAGGAGCAGCGACGTATCTTTGCAGTTGTAATTGTGAGCAAACAGCTTGCAACAAGCAATGTACACCTTCACAATTTTTTTTTATTTACTGCTTAAAATATGGTCTGTTTAATATCATATAGCCAAAACGAATCTTTCCTGACACAGTCTTCCTAGTATCTCTCTCAGTTTTCCTAGAACTCTAAGCATTGTTTCTTTCTTCATTCTTTCTGATACTGTGTTTTAAAGATTATTCAGTCTTCCCTTTTCTTGTCTGCTTCTGATGGATTCAATTTTATATCACAGCTTCCTTTTTAAATTTTTCATACATGTAGGATGCTTGCTGCTAGGACTGACTGAAGTATACTTAATCCAGAGCTGCTTAACAGCATTGTGCAAAATTCTCAACACAGAGCTGTGTGGCAGTACTCCTTGTGATCTGCTTATTCCATATATATTTAGATATCCCAATGGCAGAAGTCTATAAGCCAATGCAAACTGACTATCATCATGTGAACAGAATAATTAGTTTATGCATGTTTAATTAATTGTATTTAATGTGTTTTGCATTTGAATTAGGAAATATCCTTCTACTATATCTGTATTAATCAAAAAATGGAGGTGTGGGGATTTCTCACGTCAATATAACTAGGCAGATATTGATATAATATACACATTAAATAGCTGTCTGTGTTACCTACAATAGGGCTAATACTGGTTTTTTCACAGTATTAAAAACTTACGAACACAGAATGCTTTGCTGAAATATGATCAGAAAAAGTGGACTTTGACATTAAGATCACTTGTGTCAGTGTTTTGAGTGAAATAAAAGCAGGATGTATTGATCAAAAATTATGTTAATTGCTATTGAGAGATTTTTAAATGGACTCACATTAGACGCTTAAATCATTGGAATCTGGTATGATTTGGACACAACTCTTTTGAATATGGAAATTGGACTTTGCTGACTAAACTGACCCCATTACTGCCATGTGTTTGGATGATTAGCAGATTACTGGGTCATATGTTTCAAACTGTATTTCTATTACTTCCATTTTTCATTAAAGAACTATGCGTGTTGTTGTTAATCTAATATTTTACCCCTTATATAGGTACTTCATATTTAAAAGCAGGTTTTTTTTAATTCTCGGAAACTTTCAGTCATTAAGAGGTATAATTATTTAATCTGATGCCCTGATTTAATCTGATGCTTCTAGATGTCCTTATTGTTGCTCAGAGGTGCACTGCAATTCCAGTACACCAGAGCAGTGTGCTGAAAGACCCTCCCTTTTGTGATAGCTTAAGGTAAAAATATGTTTTCAAAGACAACTAATTGCATTTCTTACCAATCTCACCCAGATGATGGAAGCATCTTTGTATGATAAAATTATGGATCAACAGCGTTTGGAGCCAGAATTTTTCAGAGTTGGATTTTATGGGAAAAAGTTCCCATTCTTCTTGAGAGTAAGTGAATTGAAAATAAACAGAATGGAGTAATTCTGGAATTCATGCTGTCATTCATAATCACCTTCTCTATGTGAGAATTTGATCATACCATGTACAAGTTCTTATCCTATGAGAAACAGGGAATTCTTTGTAGTAATTAATGAAATAGCGTCATATTATCAGCACTAACGAAAGGTCCTGTCTAATGGACAGACAAATGCTAGGCTTCCAGAGTCCCACATAAACTTAATATTCATGTTTATGTTGGAAAACATGTATCTATACTATTCCACAAACCAACACCTTCTTTTCATGGTAGTTTGTTTCACTTATCCTGTTCTGCTTCTGCTGGTGGTCACTCAGGACACTGTCAGAAGAGGTATCCCTTGGCAGTGGGACATCAGTAATTTAGCATTTAAGTAATTGCATTCCTAAGTTCAATTTTTTTTTTTAAATAACTTAGAAATTCAACATGCTGAGTTTCATTGATCATCAATGTACTAAAGCTGACAAGATACATAAAGTTACTCTTGAACATTAATCTTGGATTCTGAAGTTACTGAAGTGCCCTTGAAAATGTTAGTTGTGTTTACCCTGTCCCCCTCTTCCACAGTCTGCAGTGGTTTAGCTGCGTTGACTGTCACCTTGGGAAGAGAACAGATTCCATCTTATTCATGGAGCCGCTGCAATCGTAATCCAAGCTCCTCTTCCTATGGTAATTCAAACAAGTGACAAAGGAACTTCCTCTGTATGGTGGAGGCCTAAAAAGTCTAATTTTTCTTTGCCTTTGTGGTGGGGAAAATGACAAATTCCAAATGGTAAATATAGCATGAAACTCTCCCGTTTAAAAGCAATGCACAAAAAGAGTCTGATGGGCACATAGTTTTTGATATTACCTAGTAGTCATCTGAATATAACATCTGTATAAACCAATTTGAAAATGTTAATTAGAAAGAATTAAATGTTTAGATTACCAAAAATACATCAACTGATGAAGTAAAAGTTGCACAATAGTGCAGTACTTTCAGGCCTGTAGGTCTTTCACTGCTTATGTATCTGCCCAGGTAGTATTTATGCATTTTCCAAGTTAAATGTACATAGCACAGATTTATGCTTGCAGCACCAACAAGGAACACCTCAAAACTTACTAAATTTGATTTAATTTTTGTATGGCAAAGCAGTTTGTAACTTTTAAACAGCCTGGCTGTGTTTGCTATAGAAGGAATAAAGAATAAAGCTTTCACATTTTAATTTGTAGTTGCACAATAACATTATTGCAGTTGATTTCTTGTAGCAATTCCCATGAAAGTCCAGGCTCTCAGAATTCAATGCTTCCCGTCTGTGTTGTCAAGATACTGTAAAGACAACAACTGTTTCTGTCTAGACCTGCTTCAAGAGCAACACATTAGTAATGACTATTTAGAATTTTCTAATTCTAAAGGAATTAGACAAGGAATAATGGATTTAAACTAAAGAAGAATAGATTTAGACTGGATATAAGGAAGAAATTTTTTACAGTGAGGATGGTGAAGCACTGGAGCAGGTTGCCCAGAGAGGTGGTGGGGGCCCCATCCCTGGAAACATTCAAGGTGAGGTTGGATGGGGCTCTGAGCAACCTGATCTGGTTAAAGCTGTCCCTGCTCACTGCAGGGGGCTTGGGCTAGATGACCTCTAAAGGTCCCTTCCAACCCAAAGCATTCTGCGATTCTGTGATTTTAAAAGGAAGATCATTTAACAGTGTTTTTAGAAAAATGGTCAGGGTATTTCCTTATTTCAAACATGCGCGCAAGCAGTATCAAACTAAAAAGTGCTGTCCACAGCTAGAGGAAGCCCTCAGCACCACCACGGTCAGTGACTAGTTCCAACGGGTACTCCAAATCCAGGAATCTCATGTTTAATGTAGACTGTGTGTTGTATCTGTATTGATGTACAATCTCAGGAAAATAATGGTGCAACTTCATAGTGGGCATCCAGGTAAAAGAAATTATGTTGGAGCCAGGAGTATTCTTATACTTCATATTGCAAACACTGGATAATTTTAATTTACCAGGCTGATAATTCATAACCATTTAGAGGATAAGGCAAATTGAATGCATTCTACCATTTTCTTATGCATTGTTTTTCTTCAGAACTGTATAACTTCAAAGCAAATTTTCCTAGCTCCTCATGGAAAGGACTTTCAGCCCATTTCATTGTCTTAACTGTCTGTTGCATTATATTTTTGTTAACTTTTTTTATACAATCTGATATGTTATGTTAGTTACGTACTTTAATCCAATAAGAACAATTTCTCCCTTCAGATTTTTATTAAAGCTTTAAGTATAATCATTTGATTTTTCCAGACTTTTAAAAAACCCATACTTTATATGGAAAAATTTCCTTCTTTTAAGTAACCTGTTCTTTCTAGATTTCTTATTTTCACTCTTGCCTTTTGTTTCTTATTTTTTCCTTCCTAAAGTGATGTAAAAACTGCCTGGAAAGTCTATATTTAAGAGCATGTGTTTGGATCTATCTAATGATACCCAATTTTCACATAACTTTTTTTTTTTTTTTTCTTATTCTGCTCAGAATAAGGAATTTGTTTGCCGAGGACATGACTATGAAAGGCTGGAGGCCTTCCAGCAGCGAATGTTGAATGAGTTCCCACATGCCATTGCTATGCAACATGCTAATCAGCCAGATGAGACCATCTTTCAGGCAGAAGCACAGTGTATCCACATAATCACAAACCCATACACTGCAGTTATGTCTTTCACGCTTTTAAAAAATGTAGGTACCCCTATAACCAATTTAAATCACAGTGTGCCTCCACTGAAATAAATGGTAGGTGAGAATTCCCCTGCAATTTGTCCCAGTAACTCTATGATGTTTGGAATTTTTTTGTGTAATTGTTGGTTTTATTTAAAAAGTCCTTGGCAGGTTATTAAGTTTCTTTCTTTAGCCAAAAATACTTGCAGAACTATCACCGCTGTGATAATGGTGTATCAGTTGAAGTTACAGTAATTCAAGTTCTTACAATACCACCTAATGTTAGCATGGCATGACATATTGTGTGTAAAAATACATTTAATTAAATCCCTTTACTCTATGTACTATTCCATGTAAGTAGCTCTATTTCAAAAACAAATATGAAAATTTCAGCAAAACAGTACAAAGAAATCCCAAACCATCAAAAAATCTCTCGGGTTCTTTTCCTAAGCCATTAATAGTCTAGAAGCATTTCATGATATGCACTTTTAAAATAGTTTTTCTTCTGTCATGCCTCAGGAGTCACTATGCTTTGCTAATTTGAATGAAGTGGGATAGCCTTAACTCTTTACATGTAGATTTGCAGATTTACGCAGTGACACCAATTCCAGAAAACCAGGAAGTCCTGCAGAGAGATGGCATTCCCAATAACATCAAGAGCTTTTACAAAGTAAACCACATCTGGCGATTCCGATATGACAGGCCATTTCACAAAGGGACCAAGGACAAGGAAAATGAATTCAAGGTAAAGTACCATGCCCTTTCCAGAGCTAGGGGACCTATGGATTTATTTGTAACGTTAATGATAGTTGTGTTATTGAAACATCTTCCACACTTGTGTTATTCAACAGAGTGTGGTATAACAGATTCTCTAGAGGAGACGGTAGCTCAGGTTTGACTATTCCACTTCTCATTTTAATTAAAATAATATGAAAAATATATGGGAGATGGGAAGATCTTGTTGTATATGGGACTAGGAGAGAAAAAAGTACCCGTTTGTTTTCGCATCAGTGATACATAGAAGGCAGAACTGGAGACAGCAGAGCAGCCTCCAGAGAAGTTTATAAGGCAGATGGGAAAACATTGTTAAGTAGGTAGTCTGGATTATGGATAGGATTGCCAAAAGTTATCTCTCCCTAAAGCAAGGGAGAGACAGTTTTGACTAAACTGCAGCATAATGTTCTGTTCCTGTGATATCAAGACTAAAAACTACTTCTGAACTTAAGAGATGCTCTCGGGGAAGAGCAATAGTTCCTTCCCTAATACGTAAATGACTTCTGTTCCTCCTAATAAAAATGTCACACTGAAAATTCATCTTACATTCTTCTGGTGTAATTTTAATTCTGACCTACTAGAAACACTTACATCCTGAGGCAGAATATATTCTGGTATTTAGACACACAAAGAGAATTATCCCATAATCAGTTTGTTATAAAGTTAGAGGAAAGAACTGTAAGGGTAATATATTAGCTAAATTAAGTCACTGTTGTCCTCTAATTAAAGCTTAGGGCTTTATTTTAATTGTACAGCTTATATGTATTTTGTGTAAGTGCAATCCTATGTGTTGATCTGTCATTTTACAAACCTCTTGCACAAAGTGTTTAACAATAGTACATTTGAGTATCCCATCAGCCATGCATTGTGGAATCTCAATAGGACTTCACAGAGGAGAGCTGGTCACTCTGTGTGATCTGTAAGTTGTTCTGCTTCTAAACTCTTCCTCTTCTCAGATGTTATCTTGGAAGGAAAATATTAAAATGCTAATTTAGTTGGGAGTGACTTTTGGAGATTAGGGGACAACATACAATATAGAATAGTACCATGTTTAAGAGTGAAGAATCAGCAGAAATTACTGCTTAGTAGTAGGTCCTAGAAAGTAAGGGGAAGAGTGAATGTCATGGGCTTCTGGGATAGACATTTCAGTAGAAATTTGGATGTTAATACTTTTTTTTTTTTTTTAATGTACACTGTTACTTAAATGAAGGTATTCATAAAGAAAACAGGGAATAATTAAGAAAAATACAGAGGCAAATTCGGGAAATAAATTGGTTTTGTATATTGTAGAGTCTGTGGGTGGAGAGAACCACACTGATCTTGGTGCAAAGTTTACCTGGAATATCTCGTTGGTTTGAAGTGGAAAAACGTGAAGTAGTGAGTATGAGACTGATTGCAGTACATATTGGGGGTTGGTTTACTTCCTTATCCATATGTTATTTGATGGACTACTGTAAGATTTATTGCCCATGTCTAATTTCTTTAAGCAAGTTTTCAAGCTGGCTACAACAACTTTATTCACAAAGTATTTTGAGTTGTCTGGTTTCTCTTATCTTGAAAAGTATTATTAAGAACCACCCTTAAGATTCATTTAAACAGTTGAGGAAAAAAGAAGTTGAGAACAATAATGGGCAGTCAGAGGTAACATTTAATGTCAGCAAATTACTTTCTTAAAGCTCAGCATGATGTAATGTTTAATGCTTAGAATATCTATAAATTAACATATCTTTTGGTGGTCTTGAAAAGTCAACATTCTCCAAGTTCCTGTACTATAATGAACGACACGTGGGTATATCTGTGTGTCTGCCTAGGGCTCTGTTGAAGTTCCCAGATCTCAGCATGGGCAGGGAAGCATGCCTACACAGAACCTGTAGGAATAGGGTCTAATGTACCAATCTGTTACTGACACACTGTAATTTCTTTTCCTTTCTTGTTGTTATATTTCTTAGAAAATCCTTAAATACATTTCAAATGTATTCAGAGGAGTGTTCCTCATACACAGATCTCTAAATAATTGGTCAATTGTTGAGCCCAGGAGTATAACATCTCTAACTATTTTCCTTCCTGTCAAAGCCAGTCTTACAATAGTCCCATTAAGTATAGGGATACCGTTGTACAACTGATTTTCTCTAAAACTCTATTGTGTTTTTCTTCTATAAGAGCAACAAAATGTCATTCGTTCACCATCCTCATATTCTCCTGTAGAAAACCAAAAATGGAATTTAGTAAAAATCAAAAAATTGTGTGTGACATGAGAAATTTTGTTAGTTGACTCGTACTGAGTCCTTACTAGGTTAATATAAGCCCTAATATGAAGATCCTCAGTTTATTGTCATGTTACCATTATAGTCACCATTTCCAAAAGTTAACTGTAAAAATTTTTCCTGGGTATGTACTAGATCATGACTCAGATTTGTGCTTGGAAGTTTTGGTAAATTATGGCAAATATTAGCTCAAAGCTTACATTCAAACTCCTCATCCATAAAGTCTGGTTGTTGACTTCACTTTGGGTGGGGTAACTAGCTCACCCATACTTAAGCTCTGCTCTGTGCCCTTAAGCATAATGAAGCTCTCTCTGACCTCAAGCCCAATTTAGCCAAAGTTACCAAGGACAGTTTAGCCCTGAATTCCAACAGTTCCACCACAGGCTGAAGTGTGTGTGTGTTTTGCAGCAAGGCTGAGTGTCTCTCAAGGTCAGATAATGAATCTACAAGAGAGGGAGGGTTGTTTGTTTTGGTCCTTGATTACGTGATAAAATTAATCCCCTCTGTGCTCAGAGTGTACACTCAGAGAGTGTAGCCCAGATGAGAAGAACTTTTTCTGCCCCAATACTCTAGAACATAGAATAACATTGTTTTCTTTTAAGAAATCAAAAATTACCTTTAATATATTTCATCTTTCAACTGAAGATTAAGTATGTCTGCAATGTTCCTCACTCCCCTTCCAGGTGGAAATGAGTCCCCTTGAGAATGCTATTGAAGTCTTAGAAAATAAGAACCAGCAGCTGAGAACACTGATTAGTCAGTGTCAAAGTCGACAGATGCAAAATGTTAACCCTCTCACAATGTGTCTAAATGGGGTCATTGATGCAGCAGTTAATGGTGGAGTTGCTCGATACCAAGAGGTAAGCAATTTATTTTCTGTTTATTAAAAATCTGTTATAAGGTAGTTTCTTACTGATTTCTTTCTCTTGTACAGATGCAGCTCCTCTGTATGAATTGAGGACAGAAAGTACTATATCAGTAATAGTTTTAGTTATGCCTGTATTGTGGTTTTGGGTGAGGTGATGTTAAATATGTTTAGCTTTATTGAAACAACCTTTTTGCTGCAGATAGTCCCATAAACTTATTCCAGTGATGAGTCAGTTCACAATTACCTTGCATTCTTTAGTGGTTTGTTTGGGGATTTTTAATTAAATGGTTAATTCTAACTGTATTATTATAATAGATTCCCTCCCTCCACCCTTCTAGGTCAGGAGCCACTTCTGGCTGACAAGCAAATTTAATTTTGTGTGCTGACATTCTAATTTTAAGATATTTACACATAAAATTCTTAAAAAGAAACTGAATATCTTGAAGAATCATATTTTTCTAGATCCTTCTTCTTTCTCCAAGTTTTTGAATAAAGCTATTTTCTGGAAAAATGTAGTAAGAAATAATACATATAATTAATGTCTAATGCTGGATTTGTTCCCAAAAGTTGTTCCTCATTATTATCACCTCTGAATCACCTTAGGAGAACCTTTAATGTTTGGGATGCTGTATTTCCACAAAGTTCTGTGGAATTTTGAAACCGCAGTAAAAAGAAAGGAAGGATTTTTTTTTCAGCCCAGCTTGATCTTCCTCCCTCTCCTAATAGTCTTATGAAATACTTGAGTCTGCTGGTTGTTCCTTTTCCATTGAAAATGTCAAGTTGCATAACATTCTGTCCACTTGTCTCAAAGGCTGCAAGATTCAGTGTTCACTCAACAGTGTTAAATTTGATAACACTGTATCTAAAGTAAACTACAAGAAATTGAGTCTGCTCTAGTGTTAGAATCTGTCACCAAAACTGCAACGTTATGAAAATTGTGAGACTAAAGCAAAGCAGTACCATGTTTGATGTTTCCCAGCTGCCTTTAAACAACAACAACAGAACTGTTTAGCATAGGAAAGAGCCATGAAGGGAGTCGCTTGAGAAACACAGTCATGTCAGAGGTATGTCTGGTTTGAATTACTAGTGTCAGAGCTAGCTCAGTGTCTCTGCGTAGCTTTCCATTCTTCACGAGCATGTTAAAGGTTCTAGCTTGCTCCTTTCTTATTGTTCTTAGCTACAATTCTTCATCTCCTGGACAGTCTCCATCTTTCAGTTCCCTTCTGTCCTCTCCTCCTCTCTCTTGCTATATATCTAAAACGGGACTTTTCACCAATTTGTGTTGTAAACACCTAAACTGATAGCAATAGTTGTGAGATTTGTTTCGTTCCCCCCGCCCCGCCCCATTTCACCCTCATTCTCTCTGTATGTCCCTTTTTCAGTCTTTATATGTCTTCCTGCTGTTTTGGCACTTCTTATCTTCTATGTTCCTTCTTTTTCTCCTCTGTAAATGCTTTTCTCTGCCTATGTGTTTCATTTGCTCTGTACAAAGCTCAAAACTCAGTCAGTCTTGGAGCATGTGGTCTTGAGGTAAGTGTGACCACGTCTTTACATATATCCTCCTTTGCTTTGGGCAACTTCAAGCTTTAAGTGTAAGACCCAGCAAACAACGTCCTTTGGCCAGCTTCTGCCTTCTCGATTCTGCCCTCCTCTGCCTTCTCGATTCTGCCCTCCTCTTTTTTTTTTTTTTTTTTTTTTTTTCTTCTTTTCTCCCCCCTCCTGATGGGATAAAAAGCAGCTCGCTCTAATTATTCAGCGCTTTGGTCAGTACTGCAGGTGTTAAAGCTACGCTTTCACTGGTTTCAATACAGAAACAGATTCCAGGAAAATCTACAGAAGTAATAGTTATCATGCAGCGCCTTCCTGTGTGCTAAAAAATGGCTGTTGACTGAACCACCGATTTTTAAAAATTTTTCTGCACGCTGCTGGAAGAATGTATTTTGTGCCCACTTACACCTCTCAAACCGCAATTTGTACTGTAACTTACATTTATTTTAGCTCCTTTACATGTGCTAGAAGAGTAGAGGCACTTTTATGATTAATTATTGGAAACTACCGGTTCCAAGAATGTTACTGGCTTTAGTCAAATTCTGATTATTTTTTCTTCTAAAGTACTGGTGATTTTGTTTGAAGTTAGATTATTACATCTCTGACTCATATTACAGATCTGTATGAATCTCAGCCCAAAACCACTGGGACATCACCTGCTTGATATTGAAAGAACATTAAGCTTGTAGCTGAGTGAAAAAAAAAAAAAATCAGCTGGCAGAAGTTTGGGATTTGGGATTTTAGCAAGTATCAGACGGTTCCTTTTAACAATTTAAACAAGAATTCTTGTAAGTCTACTTATCTGCAGTGAAAGGATCGTGTGAAATTAATGTTCTTCATTACCGTATCAGCATTTTCTAGACAGGTCTCAGCACTTCCTTGTTATGGGTTGTCACACCATGAAATTTTGGAACTGAATCAGGGGAAGTGGTATATTTATCTCCAGCTCCACTGCTCCCCATATTTACTAATGATTCCACATAGGAAAGATTTTAACGGCTAAAGTTGGATGGAGAACCTTGTACGAAGTATGTGATGGAAATGCTAGGACAGGTGCAAAAGGAAAACACAGCACAGAGCAGCCACTATTATCCTGACAACTCTGTGGATAGAAAACCATGTGTATGGATAGGTATGCATACAGACCTTTTTATGACAAATGCATTTTTGAGAAGGTCTAGAAATCTCCCAACTGAGCAGCTGGGCATTTTCTTCACCGAAAAATGTCAAGAATTATTCTAAATTCAATATAATCCCCTTGCAGGGTAGGATAGGTGCCATGTTAAGAAAGATGCAGTTGTAAACAAACAGGGGAGTGCTATGTCCAGGCCGTTGCTGGTGGGTAAAATGACTTTGGGATTCTATAGCTGGTACAGCTTGAGCATTGGAGATGGGGTGGAAAGTCATGTAAGCTCATGAACGCACCTGGATGTTGGTCAGACGCTTCTGAAGTGAAAAGTGTGGCTCTTTGACATCAGTGTCACTGTGAGTTCTTTAAAACATTATTTATATTGAGTGAATAAGAAGATAATGTCACAGCTCCAAGACATATGAGAGCACACAATTCCACACCGTTCTTAAGATATCTTTATATTTAAGGGACAATGAAGCTCCTAGTATGAAAAGACAGGAAAATCTAACTCTTTGTAAATATTTGAAACTCCTGTGTCACAATGGGGAAGAGATACTTAGTTCAGGTGACTGTGTTTGGTTTCAACTCTCATTTGCAGGTTTCCAAATTTTATTCAGGATCTGTTCTGCATATTGAATAACTGATAAATTCCACTCAAGAGTGGCTACATTTTATTTGCCCATAGTCTCCACCAACGCATATGTGACTAATTTAGCATTTATTATCTTCTGTTGCAGTAAAAAGAAGCTTTTGTTTCAAAAATACCATCTAGAAACTTGTTTTTTAAAAAAAAAGCGATATGTTTTTACTCACTTTTATGTTACTTTCTGATTTTATTCTGCTTAGGCATTCTTTGTCAAAGAATACATCTTGAACCATCCAGAGGATGGAGAGAAGATCACACGTTTGAGAGAGCTGATGCTCGAGCAGGTAAAGTGGAGAAAAGACTGACTAGGTGGCCTGCTCACCTGTTTTAGCTAAAAGTGTCCCAAAATAAAATATAAAATTTCGGAGGTTAATAATTGTCCAGTGGTCTTCAGTATCTTCTGAATTAGATTCCAAGTACACAGCAACTTCCTATACAAGCAGGTTTCTGGGTCATGTTAATATTTTTTCACTAGTCCTTTTCATCATCATCTTAATGACTTCAAACTTTTCTAAATTGAAGGTTGAATGAGAGGCAAGTTTTTGTCTTGTGATGCTCATATGCAAATATTTGCATAACATTTTACTGCTGCTACAGAATAAACATTATCTCATTAAAACATTTGATGGCTTCAGCAAATATTTGTATGACATATTTTACCAATACAAACATTTTCACTACAAGGTTTAATAAGAGGAAAAAAACCCGAAAAGTGTTATTACAGCGGAAGTAGCCAAAGTAGGTAGTAAAAGAAACACCAAGTAGTTAGAGGTGAGTATTCTATGCATATGATTTTTGTATTGTTTCTTCATTTATTTATAAGACAACAACCTACCAGCCTCAAATATGAAGTGTCTCCATTTGGAAATGCTGAAATAAATTATTTTGATCAAATGGTCTTATTAAGTATTTCAGCTTTTTTAACTGACATTTGCCTATCTTTGCTCTATGCAGCACGTTGAAATTTCAAACTTCATTGCCAGCTTGGGATAAAGAGGTCAGAGTATTGGAATTTGGCAAGATGGAAATTACTTTTTTCATCAGCATTGTGGTATCTTTTGGTCCAATCAGCTGAAGGGACAGATCTCAGTGTAAATCAGAATAGGTTCACTGAGCTCGCTTTAATTTCATTTAGATAAAGTATAGTAATTTACTTCGCAGCTTTGGTTTTTTTCAAGCTGTAGTTAATCTCGCTAACCCTTACAATTTAAAATGGGAGTTAATAACTTCCTATGACAAAAATGTGAATTCCAAGTGATAGCGGTTAAACCCCGTTTGGCACCCGCAGATGATATAACAGAAAAGGCGGAGCGCTCGGAAGGGGCGGGATGGCTCTGTGTGCGGATGGATGTGCTGCAGTCCTGACCTCGGGTCAGTGAAGCTGCGCAGCTGCGTGCCCGCTCGCAGGCTGCCTGAAAACGTCAGCTAGTAGCTCTCATCCAAAGATATTACAGCATAGTGTAGCTATTTTGTTTTTAAATTTGAGTTTATCTGATTCCTCATGTAACCAGTTCAGTATTTTAAATGCCTGTGACCAAATTTGAGCAAGATCAGAGTTTTAGCATTGTTATTCTGAAGCTTGTCATGCCTTGCTTCAGGAATATACATAAGGCCACCGCTTACTGAGGTCTTTGGGGAGTTGGAATAGGATAGGGAACCATGGACTACATTGGAAATATATTACAGGGTCTCTGGTGGATGTGGCCATTGCTGCTGTTTCATGCTTTTTATAATGGTTCTTGTAGAAAATGTCTTTCTATTTAGGGTTTAGAACTGCTCCTTTGTAAAGTTGCCATTTAGCCAAATTTTTCACTACGTTATCTGTAGTGGTTTCTTATATTAGAGTTGAATTTGCATAGGCCAAATCTTTGGGAAAGTTGAATAGTAAAATAGGAAGAGGCATAAGTCCTCTTGTGTATTGCTGGTTTTGGCCTTAGGTCTTGTTTGATTACAGGTCTGTCAGGGATTTAGATAGATGCTTTTAATACAACATGCATTTTGTTGGATTTTTTTTTTATTAGTATCCTAATTGATGATGAAAGCTTAAAGAAAATGGATCAAAAATATATTTTTCCTCTCTTTCCTCCTGTCTCTTCTGCAGGCCCAGATTCTAGAATTTGGCTTGGCGGTGCACGAGAAGGTGGTGCCCCAGGACATGAGGCCATTGCATAAAAAGCTGGTGGATCAGTTCTTTGTGATGAAGTCAAGCTTGGGAATACAGGTACATGAGCAGGTGCATGGATAAACCAGGAGACCAGTTAGCTGCAGTAAGGGTTGTTTAATTTTCCAAAGCAACAAATAGTGACATCTTTCGGTTGTTTGTCCACATTACAACTTGTAGCATTCTTAATAGTACTACAAAGCAAAGAGAAAGTTAATAAACTTTCCATACAGTGTAGAAAAAAATAGTCACATTTTACTAAAGGGAAAGTATCATCAACGAAAAGTTAAAATATTTTTCTTACTAATGATGAAGCTGGTCCAAAATGCAGATAAAACTATTCAAATGACTGCCTGTATCTTACAAAATGCTTAATGATACTATGTTAATTTTAATTAATCTTCTTTTAACAACTCGCCAGGAATTTTCTGCCTGTGTACAAGCTAGCCCTGTTCATTTCCCGAATGGAAGTCCTCGTGTATGCCGAAATTCCATACCTGTTTCTATGAGCCCTGATGGTGCCAGGGTAATACCACGACGCAGGCAAGTTAAATTACTAGAAATTGGTAGATTTTGTTATGCATGGAAGATGACCCTTAAAATACTTCTATTGCGTGCACGCTTCCTTGTATGGTCTGCCTGAAGCACCTTCAGTCATGAATAGCTGATACATTTTCTGTCTCTCTCTCTTTCTCCCCCCCTGCTTCCCCCACCAATAAATCCAAATTAAACTGTGGAGGTTAATAAACATGTGCTGTTTTCACATGAAAAATTATGACTGTCAACTACAGTTAACCATTTGGTATTTCATTATTCTTATAATAGTCCTTTGAGTTACCCAGCTGTCAATCGGTATTCATCCTCATCACTGTCATCCCAAGCTTCTGCTGAAGTCAGCAATATCACTGGGCAATCAGAAAGCTCTGATGAAGTTTTTAACATGCAGGTACAAATTATTGTCATTCTTCAAACTAAACAGAATCTTTCTTATAAGGCTATTTACTCAATTAGTGCTTCTATTATTTCATTCAAATCTCAAAGTTACTGCTGATACTTCTTTTTAAAAAACAAATCTTTAAATCTTTGTGTAGTTACATTACTGCTCTTTATACTGGTTTGTTATTTTGAAATACTGAGAAACTAGTCTAACAAATTACAAGTTCTTTGTTTTAGTGAGAAGTATGTTATAAATTTTTGTTTTCCAAACCAGTAAATGTGATGTGGTAACAACAGCATCTCTTCTGTATGCAGCCTAGTCCATCTACCTCAAGCCTGAGTTCTACTCATTCTGCTTCACCTAATGTGACCAGTTCTGCTCCATCCAGTGCCAGAGGTCAGTTGCTCGTCTCCTGTGGTAAACCAAATGAAATGATTCTTGATACATTGCACAGCTGAATTTCTTTATGGTATCACTGATCAGACATCAAATTTAGCCAACTGATTGAGAATATGAATTATCGGGGACAGAGGATTTTTTTTGTCATAACTGTAGAATTGAAATGCCTGAGTTTCACTGCATGAATTTAATCACTTGACACATTTATATTCTAGCCTCTCCTCTGTTGTCTGACAAACATAAGCATTCCCGAGAAAACTCTTGCCTGTCTCCCAGAGAGAGGCCCTGCAGTGCCATCTACCCTACTCCTTCGGAAACCTCCCAGGTAGGAAGCTTGTTGGGAGGCCTCAAAACACAAGTAGCTAAGAAGATGATAAAGGCGTTTGTTGAACTTCGAGCAGATTCAGCGTCTGCTCGTTGCTGTTAATTTTCAAGGGCTTTTTTTGCTTTTTATAAGTAAATACTCTAAAATATTTTACATGAAAGAGATGTGAATAGAATATATAGTGCTTGATCACATTTCTGCTTTGTCTAGATTTAGATCTCGTTCTGATAAATATCAAAATATCTCTCTCACTGCAGTGAGGGAGATGCAAAGACTTACCAGATGACACAGCCCGCTTGTGTGAAACAGCAGTGTTTGTTCAATCTAGGGAAGAAGAAAGAAAAACTCCTATCGTGGCAGTTGTCCATGTTGACCTCCCCTTTATTTCTTCTGAAATAGCTAATCCTAGCCACTGTGAGATAATAGTCCACTCCATGTGGCAATTCCTATTTCTCAATGTAGTTTCAGAAAAGAAAGATAGACATTTTGTTACTCCAGAGAAAAGAATGAGTTGAGTCCTTACCTTAAAATTAGTTACATAGGTCTGTATGAAATTTGTATCTTTTGAGTTATCTGAAATGCAAAATGAGCTTGGTGAGCTGGCCAATTTTGAACTCTTATTTCATCTTTTCTTCTTAATGGACCTACTTTCCTAAAGTGCTGTCCTTTAACACAGTTGCTGTTTTAATCCGTGCCGACACACAGTACACCTCTTGCTGAAGCTGAGAAAGATGAGAACATAAGTACAGTGTGAAAGGCTCTCCTCTCAACACCAGAAATTTTGCCTCTGATTAAAAAAACAACTTGGTAGTCCAGGATCCTTTATTTTAGAAATGATTTGTTGGTTTCTCATTAGTTGTATTCTTGTCCCTTGCTGCT